AGCCTTGGTGCTCACCAGATGCTCCTGGGTGGGTGGGGGGGATGATCCCCACTGCTCCATGCTGCATGGGGGGGCTCTGCATGAGCTCCCTCAACCCCTCCCTGCTCCCCCAGCCCCCCCACAGCTGCACCGCCTGCTGGGGCTCTGCCTCTTTAAGAAAAAATAAAGCAGAGAAAAGCCCCAGGACTCATAGGTCCTGGTGCAGCCTCATGGCTTCCGGGGCTTATGCAGAGCCCCCCACGTGGCAGGGGGCAGTGGGGACCCCCCTGCCGGCAGGAGCGGTGAGTCCTGGTGTTTCTTCAGGATTCTTTTTTTTCTTAAAGGGCTAGAGCTAGCACCTGTGAGGGGGCTGGGGGGGATTGTGCAGAGCCCCCCATGCAGCATGGGGCAGTGGAGGACAGCAGGGATTGGCCCCTGCCCGCCAGCACCTGCTGAACCAGGGCTTTTTTTCTCACAAGTGTTGGGAGGTGGGGCAGGCGGGGCGGCCATCGCTGGGCCGGAAGACGGGTGGGGGATGGGCCTGGCCTGGCTGATTCAGAGATTCGGACATTCACCTGCTGCCAAACTGCCGAATCAGGTTCAGCCGAATCGAACCAGGACAGTGATCTGAATCACCAAATTGAATCATTGTCCCCCAAAACCAGCCAAATCCAAAGCGAGCACTAGCTGCTTCACACAGACTTAATACTTACTGTCAAAATTTAAACAGATTTTCATTAAAACATTTATTTCCATTGGACCCAAAATGTCCATTTCAATCTTTGTTTCAATTATACATCCACAAGACATACTGGAATAATTAACTGCAGAAGATTCAGACTTTTCCATTTCTTAACAACTCAGGACAATATGAAATGTGCAATTTCAGTTTCCAGTGGGAGATTTTGTTCTCTAGTTAGCTCTTCTTGTAAAAAATATTATCAAGTTACCATATTATGTACTTTCAGAGTACGGGGGGGGGAGATGGTTACAGCGGGGCCAGACTAGGAGTGCCTGGGAGGTGGGGTAGAGTAGAACCAGACCCAGAGTGGCGGGGGGGGGCAGGGCTGGACCTGGAGGGCAGGTGGGGATGGGGTGGAAGACGAGCAATGCCAGATCCAGAGCGGCAGGGGGGGGGGG